TGCGAACGTTAGCAAAGCCCTTCACCTTCAGTGAGTTATGTTTTAGAGAAGCGTGTGTTGTCAACCTATAAAACTCTGGGGAATGTGATGCTGCCTTTCAAGCGGAGAAGTGGGGAGACCTGCAGCATATCAAGTCCTTGGCATGCAATGCTTGTGGTACAGCTGTGTTGCGAACCCAGCCTGATGCTGGAGAGACTTGCAGTGCTGTCCTTGTGTGTAGTACTGACCTGGTGAGACAGGAGAAAGAAGGTGAAATTGTTTTAAGTGTAAAGGTGAGGTAAGGTCAAATTGATGAGTAGAATGGTGAGAAATGTCCAGATATCCCTAGTCTTAGGTCAGGGTCTTGTTCTGTGGTCTGCTGGTAGAGAAGAGATGTGAAGTTTAAAGAGCGTCTGGAAAACAAGCCTGTTCATGCTAATCAAAATACCTCAAGGCATTTATGAAACTTTAGCCTTCCTGTTACCTTCCCTGTGACTATTTTAACATGGTTTCTGTTTCTTCTTCTAGATATAATTGCTGAGGGCCTGTAAAATGGCTTTACGCTTCCGCAGTGTCATTTCATATGCCATACCTGGAGCGCTGGCACTTCTTGGCTGCTGGTGGATCTATTCCTATAGAAAAAAGCATGCAAGCTACCATGAGGAACAAGCAATAGCTGTTGAAGAAGAGCAACAGGAAGAAGTGCCAGAGAATGATTCATCACCCAAAACAGAAGCATGTGTTCCTCGAAGACGGCGTCTCTTGTCGGTAGAGGAATGCCTAGAGAATGAAACCTCGACCTCCCTGCTGTCAGCAGGGTTGACGACGCCCTCTCTTCTGTGTCAGACTCATGAGAGGCTAGATCTCTCACAGGACCTTCCAGACCTGTCAGTAACGACAATTCAGCCCAGCACCCTTGAGGACGACAGTGAAAAACTAGAGACAACAGAATCTCAAGATGAAAGCGGTGTCCCTGCTTGTGTTTCTCTCCCTCTGATCTCAAAGAGCACAGAGTGTCACAGCAGTGCTGCAGTGAGCCTTCTACAGGATTCAAGCTCTAGTGCAGACCAAGATCAGTGGCCATCAGCGTCAGTGACACTGACGCAAAAGTCTTTGGGAATCACAGAGATCAGCAGTGTGGAGCAGTCAGATGATTCTTCATTTAAGCCCCCTAAGGAAAGCCAGATGCCAGAAATTGTACTTTTGGATACCGGCTCTGTGACAGCCCTTTGCTTGGGATTGGAGAAGGAAGCCAATACCCCAGAAGCCTTTCTCAATAATAGAGATGAAGTCATATCAAGTCACAGGGATCCTGCAGTGAGCATGTTACCGGATAGTTTGGAGTCTGCCTGTTTGGAGCAGTCCAGGAAAGAAGAGATGTCTGAGTCAATTGCCAGTACTGTACCTGTGTGTCAGGAGGAGGACACACAGCCAAAAGGAGATGAATTGGAAAGAGAGAAGATTGGAGGAGTGAGTTTGGACAAGGAAGAAGTTGAGAAAATCGAGCAAGTAGCAATACACATAATTTCCAAGGTCATTTTGGCAGCAACAGAGCAAGTGCTGTCTGGTGCTGCAAGTGATGTGTCCACTCGGATCTGCCAAGCTGCAGCCAGCCGAGTTGAGAGAGCTGTGGAGACGGCAAGCGTTGTTTCCTCTGATCAGATGGTTACGCCTCATTTAGCCGATGAGAACATTTCTGCGAAGGGTGATGCTGTGGTACTGACATCCCCGCAGACGAAGGAACAGGATCAGAATGTGACAGATTCCAGCTCTTTAACACACGGCTGTTTATCTGGCCCTGTTCATGGAGACACAAAAGACTCTCAGATGAAGAACTGTGTGTGCAGTGAGCAAGTGCTGCCTGGTGCTGCAAGTGATGTGTCCACTCGGATCTGCCAGGCTGCAGCCAGCCGAGTTGAGAGAGCTGTGGAGACGGCAAGCGTTGTTTCCTCTGATCAGATGGTTACGGAGGAAGCTACAGTAGCTGATGAGAACATTGCTGCGAACGGTGATGCTGCGGTACTGACATCCCCGCAGACAGAGGAACAGGATCAGAATGTGACAGATTCCAGCTCTTTAACACCTGGCTGTTTATCCAGCGCTGTTCATGGAGACACAAAAGACTCTCAGATGAAGAACTGTGTGTGCAGTGAGCAAGTGCTGCCTGGTGCTGCAAGTGATGTGTCCACTCGGATCTGCCAGGCTGCAGCCAGCCGAGTTGAGAGAGCGGTGGAGACGGCAAGCGTTGTTTCCTCTGATCAGATGGTTACGGAGGAAGCTACAGTAGCTGATGAGAACATTGCTGCGAACGGTGATGCTGCGGTACTGACATCCCCGCAGACAGAGGAACAGGATCAGAATGTGACAGATTCCAGCTCTTTAACACATGGCTGTTTATCCAGCGCTGTTCATGGAGACACAAAAGACTGTCAGATGAAGAACTGTGTGGGCAATGAGTCCCAAGGAGCTGATCGGACTCCTGTGGAAAACCATGGGGGGTCACTGGAAAAGTCACCTTTGGTTTTGGAGGACTCTGGGTGCAGCACATACACATCTGAACATGGGACAAGTGTGGAGGACTCATTGCAGAACACAGTGCTGTCTGTCGCATCAGGCCAGCATTGGGACTCACTGAGCATATCTGCAACCCAAGACACGTCTGTTGAGCAGAGCTCACCAAGTGAAAAACCTCCTATTCTGAAGCTACCTGAAGACAGCCAAGTGCCATACAGTAATGGGATACTGAATGAGGCTGGTCCGGACTTGCATCATGAGCGGGCAACAGGGATGCATGGAGATCACTCAGGAGGTAAGGGATTTGAAAATCCTCCTACAAGAATGTGGTGAAGAGGCATTTTATGTGCTGTAACCCTTCTGCTTCAGAACATGTTCAGATAAATCCTCTTTGTGTTTAACTTCCCCAGTAGATGAATACTTAGCCCTCGTGCAGGTGGGTATGCATTTGCTCTCAGAATTCCCATCTTGGTGGGATCCAGTGTTAGCTGGGTGATCTTCAGGGTGTACTGCAAAGGGGTGAACAGGCTAGTCCCCTTTCAGCACAAAGCTTAGCGTCTAAAGCTAAGCATGTGCTTAAGTAGCCCAGTGAAATGGACCATGTCTGGATGTCGGCCAGGCTGTTGAACACCTTGCTGGTTTGAGACCTGTTAATAGAAATGGTTTCTGCTTCGGTTCAGGCAGCCTCTAGTAAGCACGGGGTTCTTCTCTGTGTTTATGGGCTGCTGCTGAAAGGAAGCTGTAAGGCAGGTTTCTGAGGTGTTGCTGGATGAACCGGGGAAGTGCTCTGATGAATTGTGATAAAATCAGTTGGTTGCAGACCAATTACCCTGAAGCCTTTTTGCTTGGAAGAGTAGGTGCACGCCAAGAAATCCCAACAGGGAGCAATGTTCAAGGAGTTCCTCCATCTGTTCAGGTTTCTGAGGTGTTGCTGGATGAACCGGGGAAGTGCTCTGATGAATTGTGATAAAATCAGTTGGTTGCAGACCAATTACCCTGAAGCCTTTTTGCTTGGAAGAGTAGGTGCACGCCAAGAAATCCCAACAGGGAGCAATGTTCAAGGAGTTCCTCCATCTGTTTCTGTGTTGCTTTTGCCTTCTAGATCCTGGATGGTGTGTGCCTGGCAGAATACAAAGCTGTCTGAGCAAATGTTCACCCGTGTGACCTTGGGGATGGATGTTAAAATCCTTGATAGGACCCTGTGGTGCCAAGAGCCCTTAATGACAGGATGTCTTTTGTAATTAGAATCATAGAATCATTAAGGTTGGAAAAGACCTCTAAAGATCATCAAGTCCAACCGTTAACCCAACACCACCATGCCCACTAAACCATGTCCCTAAGCGCCACATCTACACGTCTTTTAAATACTTCCAGGGATGGCGACTCCACCACTTCCCTGGGCAGCCTGTTCCAAGGCCTGACCACTCTTTCAGTAAAGAAGTTTTTCCTAATGTCCAGTCTAAACCTCCCTTGGCGCAACTTGAGGCCATTTCCTCTCGTCCTATGGCTGGTTACTTGGGAGAAGAGACCGACCCCCACCTCGCTACAACCTCCTTTCAGGTAGTTGTAGAGCGCGATGAGGTCTCCCCTCAGCCTCCTCTTCTCCAGGCTAAACAACCCCAGTTCCCTCAGACGCTCCTCATAAGACTTGTTGCAATTGCTACAAAGTAGTTGGAACGCTGCTTGTTGCAAGACATGGGGATTCAGTTTGCCAGCAATTAAGGATTAAACCCCCAAAACATTTTCACTGGTGAGAGTAACCATAGAAAGAAAACGGTTTTGCCTTGTTGTGAATTCTAGTGTGACAAGAAGGTACAAGAGTATGTTGTGGAGCCTGGTGATGACCAGGGCTGAAAGTTCTGCACTGAGACAGCTGAAGGGTAGGGAGAGGGGATGCAGCAGGTAAAGCTGATGATGTGGCTATGTTGGATAGATGGTCCTCCAGCTGACCTTCACACCCAGGCTGTGAGACTTAAATCCTCATCCCTGTCTAGGAAGTCTATGGCAAACAGCTGCACTGTTTGCCTTTGACTTTCTAGGCATCTGTGCTGGGTTACTGGTTAAGATGTGGCAAATGTGAAGCAGCTATTGTGTTTATTTTTTGCTTTGGTCGAGCACTGGATGGTCTGAATACTTGCAAGCAGGTGAGGATCTTCATGCTTCTGCTTGTTAATCTGGAGGAAGGATCAACCTTGTGTTACACTGACTGTATCTGGGCTCTGACCAGGAGGAAGCTGTTTGAGTTTGTCCCCTTCCCAAGTAGAATTGCTCCTGGTATCAGCTGGTGGTTTGGGAACAAAACATAGCTCAGCTCTGGCACCTTGTTTCTTCAGGCATATGACAAATTTGGGCAAGAGGCAGTCCCCTACCCCAGCTAGTAGTGGGCACACCTGGCACTCAGGTCACTGTGCAACCCCTGCTGAGGCAGGAAGGTAATGCCCGTGCAAAGAGCAGATGAATAGGTTGCATGTCCCCCCCTGCATGCTGAACTCCCTGCGAAGAGCCCTGTTTAAGCCATGGGGAAAATGCAAAATACCTTACTGCAGCAGCAGCAGCTCAGTGTTGATGTTAGCATAGCTCTCATTCAGCTGGTGACTTAGACTGACAGTGCCTCTGCTGCTCACCGTGTTTGAAGAACTCCTTCTGAACTCAGGCCTCCTTCTGTTGCATTCCCAGAGGTGTCCAGGTTTTTCTCCAGGAATGAAAGGAAACTTTCAGTAGGCTGTGTGTGACGGGACTTTACCCTTTCTGAAATACTGGAGAACCTGATGCAGGAACATCCCAACTGAATGCATAGGAAGAGCTGAATGCAACCTCTCTATGAGATGATGTATTTTCATGGCCTTGTGTCTGGTAGCTGGATCGCGTGGGTTGTCTGAATGCTGACACGTGTGCATGTCTTGTAGGTTCGCATGTAAATAACGTGGATTTTGTGGACAGTGGCTGTGCCATGAGGAAGACAGTGACTCGCCAGAACTCTAAGCTGGGAGGAGAATCCAGCAAGTCCGACTACATTATCTGGGAAATAGAGGTCCCAAAGGTAACCAGCTGCTGGCCTGCTCACGCATCCTGCCCTGCCCTACATAGCCATCTCCTGGTTCTTCCAGTCTGGTACTGGCTCAGTGCCATCCCAGGGAGATTAACAACAAATCAAGGAGAATTTGAGCATTTGGCTCCCATTAGGACTTGACAGGAGTGAAGAGCCAGTACACAACTGCAAACAAGAGGCATGTCAGGGCTACACCCAGGGTAACGCTGGTTGTTGGACTCATTATTCCCCATTATCTTCCACCCCAATCTGTTAGTCTGATGCTTTGAAAGCATTCAGCAGGCTTTGAGGTTACACAGGTATTAAGAGCAGGTGATGATTTTTTTTTTCTTTCCACTCAGTAGGAGGGTTAGTTTCAACTGCCTGTCCAAACCCTTCCTCACAAGCTGAATGCTCATCTGAGCTATTCTGTGGAGCTGCTGTGTCTCTGTCTTTACAGTGAGCTTTCTTTTGCGTTGAGAGAGAGAGTGTTTTTTAGGACTATATTCATACCTTCCTTCCTGCTTTGAACATGCAAAATCACCTGTGGCTGTCCTGCACAGCATTGCTTCTGCAGTTCTGCTGCTCAGCAGACCCGAATAATGACAGCCAGGAATGAGACGGCAGCTCCCGGCAGGATAAGCATGCTGCCTTGACTGCTTGGATGCTGTGAGCCCAGGGAAGACATGTAACAGGCATTTTAATGGATCAGTAAAACACAGGCTAAGGAAGCAGTTCTACAGCAGAAAAATACGTTTCAGTGGTTAGCAAAGACAGGCTGTCGCTTTTCTTAAAGTAGCTAACTTTACATTGTATAGGATTACCCATAGTGACTCAGGCCCAACACTTCTGCTCTGGTATCTGGTCTTTGACAGTAAGTGATGGCAGATGCTAGTGGAAGAGCAGAAGTGACAGGGCTTGCACAGACATCTCTTCATCACCCCGCCCAGCTGTCCAGGGACTCTGTAGTCTAACAGGCACGACAGCCTGGTTTACTCTCCTGTGAATTTATCTACTCCCTTTCTAATCTAATTAGTTTGTTTAAAAGTTGCTAAAACTTAGTATTTCATATATACCTAAATGAAAAATGCATGTAGCGTGCTTTAAAAAAAAAAAAAAGTGGTGGGAGATTGGGAGCGGATGTGACTTGACTTGAGTGTAGGAAGACAGTAGCCTTTACCAGGCCTGGTTTTGTCCCGTTGTGTCTGTGTCGTTCTACAAGATAAGAAGATGGATCTATCCACATGAGCTGTGCTTACTGGTCTGTATCTCCCTTGACTTACCACAGACCAGCTGAACTCTGCCCTGGTCCAGCGTTGCCTTGTATTTACCCTGCCTGGCCCTATGCTACAGGAGCTGGGCATGTGGGTGAAGGTGAAATAAGCACCAGAGAACAGTGTTGTTTAATCTACGTTTCTCTTCCTGACTGTTGCTTTCTTGTCTCTTTCATAAAGGAATTAGTTGGCCGCTTGATTGGCAAACAAGGAAGATTTATGAGCTTCTTGAGGCAAGCGTCTGGTGCCAAAATTTATGTCTCAACGCTACCTTATTTCCGTGACTCCCAAGTCTGTCACATCGAAGGTAAGTGGAATGCCTCTTTATTCATGGTCTAATATGTAGCTTGGGGGCCTTAATTAGATGGGTGAGGAATTTAAACAGATTTAGAGGCTTCGTGAGTCCAGTGCTTTACAAAACTTTCTGCTCAGTGCTGTTAAAGTAGAGGTATATGCCAAGTCGCCTGTGCCTTGGTGTGTGAACCCTCTGTTCTAGAGGTGAGAATGCATTTTAACATCTTTGGCTGCTGTATTTAACCAACACCTTTTGCAGGATCACTTCAGGCTTGAAGGAGGAGCTACGGGATGTGTAGTGTTCTGAACTGTAAAGAATGTTAGTTTAATTGTGGCTGAAAAAGCCCTGCCGGTGAATTGGGTTCATACTGGAGGCTAAAGCTGTTGACAGTGGGGCCTGGCAGTCTGAGTTGCTCCTGTTGGTCTGATATCAGGTTACATGGCCAATCTATTAAAACTTAAGTTGTTAATGTGGTGCAGAAGGCTTCTGGTAGATATATTGCTTCACATGGTGGGGGTGTCCTCAGCATATCTGTGCTACAGATTTTCTGCTGGATTTTTGTCTTGCAGGCTCCCCGCATCAAGTAGAAAAAGTACTGAGCCTGATCGGCCAGAAGTTCAAAGAGCTGTGTCTCACCAACATCTACGGTCTACCTCCACCAACACCATTGACGCTTCATTCCCTCCTTATGACTGCCTGGGTAAGTCCCACCTTGCTGGCTATGCTGATGTCAGGGTGGAAGGCTGTTGTTGGTCACTGCCATCGTAGTATGCTGTATCCATGTGGCTGGTTCACAGATGCCCTCAAAAACAGTTTGGTTTTGTGGGGCTATCTGTTGTCCAGCTTGTGTAACTGTTACAGATCAGACTTATCTATCTGTTCTTCCACTACTGTTTCCATTCTGCCTGAGCTGAGAAATGTAGAATCATAGAATCGTTTAGGTTGGAGAAGTTAAAGTTCTCCAAACCCAACCGTAACCCTAACACTGCCAAGTCCACCGCTAAACCATGTCCCTAAGCACCACATCTACAGGTCTTGTCAATGCCTCCAGGAATGGTGACTCAACCACTTCCCTGGGCAGCCTGTTCCAATGCTTGATAACCCTTTCGCTGAAGAAATTTTTCCTAATATCACCTTTTTGGGCAAGAAGCCCTAATTCCTACATGACCGTTCTCAGCTGCTTCTGTGGTTTCGAACACATCAATAACCCTTGTGTCTTTGCTGCTGCATGGATCTCCATCCGCTACCTTCACTGAGATGGCAGGCTGAAGGACCTTGCTAGCACACTGTCCCTAAACAGTGGTGTGCCACCCCCAGGCTTATCTCTAGCGAGCCTGGTTTTGTCCCTTTTCCCCCTTCAAATCTAGTTTCAAGCTCTTTCAATGAGCCCTGCTAACGCCTGTGCAAAGATCCTTTTTCCGCTTTGAGACAGGCGTACCCCATTTGTCGCTAGCAGGCCTGGTGTTGTGTAGA